CTTGTGTCGCTAAAGTTTCGTCGGAAACGAAGTTACGGAAAGTTAATTAACAAACGAAGACGTAACAATATAAATACTGCTGTATTCTCAAGTAGTTTCCAAAGCTCTTTACAGACCTGCCCCCCAGTGGCACAGCGGTATGTCTGCAAACTTAAAACGATAGATTCCGAGTTTCGATACCCGTGGTGGGCAGAGCACAGATAGCCCATTGTGTAGCTTTGTGCTTAATTAAAAAAAAACTTTACAGACCTCAAGTTCAGAGCCTGTGATGGAAATGTTTTGTTTTCATTGTGATGTAGTATCCTTAGGGGCCATGATGTCACAAGAAACTGGTAGCAATAAATTATAGTCCAAAAACCTTACAAGTTATATTAAAGTCAACTTGTTTATTCACTATTAAGCAAAAAGCTACATAATGAGCTATCAATGTTGTGCCTACCATGAATACTGAAACCTAATTTTCAGCGTTAAAAGCACTCGGACTTACCATTGAGACACCAGGTGGTGCTAGATTGTTACAGGAAATCTAAACCAATTACACACCAAGACATCTGTCTATCTTATACATATTGCAAACCGTGGTATCTGTCCGAGCGCTCGTCTGTCTCCCGTTTGAAAAGCTGCGCACGCAGGCAAATTTCAACATTCACTTTTGAAATGACGGGAGAACAGGTATGAATAATGTTGATTTTATTTTGTAGCAGGATATTCTACACTAAGTTGTTAGGAATTAATCACACTGTCATTCACATTTCAAAATGTGGCGTAACTTAAAGAATAAAAATGTAGGTTTACCGTGTGTTATTGTTGAGCAGCTCTTAGTTTGATTGAAGTGCTCAACAATTACTTGTCGCGGTGGGCGGTGTAAATAGCTCAGAGCTTTGGTTATGAGTAAAACTAACTAACCGTTTTAAAGTCTACGAAATAATTTAAATTGATAGATTAACTTAAACATTCCCGTCACTGAGAACGGATACTTTTGCTACATTAACTAATATAATTATTTATTGTTGGATCAAAATAAAACACAGAACGTGGATTAACAAATTAATTGAATAGCCGATATAAACATCTTCTGAGATCACAATATCAACTTGTATGTTAAAATATAGTTTTAAAAAATATAAAAATATTAATTTGATTATTCAGGGTAAGACACTTCACCGTATTTCATTAACGTCCATTCTTTTACAGTTCAGTGATTACATGTAATACCTGTTTTGTTTTTGTTTAAAACAAGTGTTTTATCTTTACCATTTACGAAAACAAGAAACCAAAAATAATTTCACAATATCAGAAGGATAAAACGCTTCTAGAAACAAAGTATAAGACATACGTTACAATATTTTGCTGCAAAAAATAGCCTCAAAATTGGGGTTTTTTTTTATCAACAGGCAGTCGTGTTATTCATTTCTCCATGACAATACCCAAAAAATATCTTTGTCTATTTCAATATTGAAGGAATGAACATCTACATTTACTTCTATTATGAGATGGTTTTTTTTATCTCTGGTTTTTCTTAAGCGATTTTTTGTTTTTGAATTTCGCGCAAAACTACACGAGGGCTATCTGCGCTAGCCGTCCCTAATTTAGCAGTGTAAGACTAGAGGGAAGACAGCTAGTCATCACCATCCACCGCCAATTCTTGGGCTACTCTTTTACCAACGAATAGTGGGATTGACCGTCACATTATAACACCCCCACGGCTGAAAGGGCGAGCATGTTTGGTGGGACGTGGATTCGAACTCGCG